ACTTCATTCTTTGGGTCCAATTCTGTCTCATATAATTAATGTTCCTGTCCCCAAGATGTCTCCAGTCACCTATTCATGGCCCTTTAAGAATAATTTTTATGCAATATGGGAGAAGAAAGTAATAATAAATTCCAAAATAACATGTAACGGCATTGGCTGAAAAGTTACGACACCATTTTAAAGAAAGAAATTTAGTTCCATCAAACTATATAGCTCTCAAAACCTGGCTCTCGGGGTATATGGTTTAATTGGTAATCTAGCATAAAGTAGCCCTTTCTGACCTCATGAACCACAAGAAAATCCAGTTCCTTTCACCTTTAATAAAAACTCTGTGGGGTATTATAAGCTGATTTTTGTAGGGCATACATAAGAAGAAACACATGCACAATTAAATACACAATGAAAGAGAGCATTTAGAGTTTGGTTGAGTGGGTCATGTGTGGATTTCACAATATATTCTGCCTTAAGTTAGTTTACTAACTTTTAACTTAGCACTCAATTAAATCGGAAGATTTTTTTTCTCATCCAAAGCCATATTTAAATAACCAATTGTAATCACAATACTTTGCCAAGCTAGAAAATGTTATTTCCTACATTTTGGGAAAATATATATCTCAAGATTCTTTTCTATTTACAATATTCTTCCTCACTTCCCTTCTTCCTACATCCCATATTAAGGTTTAATTCTTAAATCACTCTGAATTTTGGAAAAATGTCCAGATTTTTTTTACCACATATGTTTTAGTTTTCTGAATATTGCACACTAATGAAAATTCCCTGTGCATCTGTAGTAAATAAATCTTTGAATTGCTAATTGTTTCAAATTAACCTCATAGATCTTTAGCAGCTGTCTTTATGTCATTTTCAGCCCACAAATTCAGTCTGTTTATTTCTGGGTCTTTAATCATAAACCATACACGCAGCACAAAGGTCAGGTTTCCTCGTGGGTAGAATGATGGCAGCATCAATATCTGCTGTGCCTCCCCGGGGGGCAGGTCATCCTTTATCTCCTCCTCTCACCTTGTGTTAGCAATCTCGGGCTGCTTATTAATCTGCTCGGACAGATTAATAAACACTGGGTGATTTAAACAACAGAAATGTTATTTTCGTCTGGTTCTGGAGGCTAAAAGTTTAGAAGTCCATGATCAATGTGCCAGCAGGGTGGAGTTCTGCTGTCATATTTCTCCTCCCTTTGCAGGTGGCCAACTTCTCGTTGGGTCTTCACATGGCCTTTCCTCTGTGGGTGCTCTTCTGGCATCTTTTCCTTTTCTCATAAGGACACCAGTCCTGTTAGATTAGGGCCCCACTCCTATGACCTCATTTAACCTTTGTTATCTCCTTAAAGGACCTATCTTCAAATACCGTCACATTGAGGGGTTAGAGCTTCAACATAGGAATTTGGAGGTCGGGACACAATTCAGTCCATTACATATCTTAAGGCTGATGCCTGATGTCTCCCATTTGACCCTCCATATCCCTTTTCCCCTTCTCTCCATGTACTCCATGCTGAGGAATACTCATCTCTTATGTCCTCTATCTGTGGTCTCCAAGGTCCTCTAGCTTCTGCTAGGATTTGGCCAGTGAGGTGGATACACTGGCAAGAAATGGGGAAGAGAGAGGAGCAAACTGGGTCTCAGTATGTATTCCCCCCGCCCCGGCCCTGAAGGACTGATATGGGTTGGTGTGTCCCCTGAGCAATTCTCAACTATTATTCCCCTGTCTCAACTCCAGGGACTCTCTTCTCCCCAACGCAGGGATGGGTTATTGACTTAACACTATCCTTTCCAGTTTCCTTTCATCACGCCCTTGTATCAAATTACCTGTTTGATGCAAGGATGTCATCTCTGTATGGAAGTGGCATTTCCAGGGCAGCAGCAACTCACTGTGCTATTAACCAACTGTTATATTGACCCAGTGGATCTCCAGAGGCCCCCGAGCAATGTCACTGTCCTCCAGAGTATCTTGTCTGTGGATGCTGCCAGAATAGAATGGCTTGGGGCCATGCTTCTGAGGGAAGCTTTATCAGATTGGGATTTCTGGGGTGGGGTGGCTTTGGGGTCAGAACCTATGTCCCTTCCCTTGAGGACACTCAGGACAAGAACTGAGTTGTGATTCTACAAGTCTGAAGAGAACTTGGAGGCTGATCTGCTCTTAGACCTAATGCCAAGCTTCAGTGAACAAGACATTGGAGTTTCAGCTAAAAACAGTAGAGCAGGCATAAGCCCTCATGTTGCCCAAAAGAAGGCTGCTGTAAGGGCTAAGGGCTCAGGCTTTGGTTCCAGTTGGATTTCAACCTCTGGCTCTGGCATTAGTGAGCATTTCTGAACCTGTTTGCTCACTTGTAAAATGATGATGGTGTTGACTCAAATTGTGCAGAATGATGTTTAGACAGTGCTCAGAGGATAGAGAGTTTCTATAAACGTTAGCCTCTGTTGGTTTTAGTGTACAATGGACCTTCTATGTAAAACCCCTCTTGATCCTAAAGGAACATTATTTCTTAAGAATTGGTCCCATGTTTTCCCTCTTGATAGAGGAATGAATGTGTTTGTTTTTGTTTATAGAAATAATACATGGTTACCGGCTGATGCTATGTAAAGAAAATAAAAAACTTCCCTAATCTTACCAAGTAGTGTAGTTTCGTTACATTGTCACTTCATAGTAGCTGCATGCATAAGACTTTATGTACATTACTTCTTTATATACACATACATTTTTTCTAAACTGAGACCATACTCTATCATTTTGTACCCTACATTTGTCACTGTGTCATGGACATGAAAGTACTGCCTGGATATTTTCTTATTAAATATTCTTTAAAATTTGAATTAGTTTTTAAAGATCTTTTCTGAATTTATAGACAGGCACAGTCATAATTTTACACAGATGCACACAAATGTGGTTGTGCTAGGTGTGCCTTCTCACCATTTTGTGGTTCTCCATCTGTTATCTCTCATGGTGCTATGTGAGCCAGATGGCGTTTTGCCTACAGCACAGCCGCTCATGTGTAGTAGGTTACATTTTGGTGATGAACTGGCGCCTTCTTCCTTCTCTGGCTATGATGTTTTGTCTCTGAAGTCTAGATATAAGTCAGTTACTAGAGTTTTTCAGTCTGGCCACCCACACCATAATGAGGGACAGTTGCGTCTAGGGATTGCCAAAGTATTGAATGTAGTCCTTGCTTTATGATGGCTGGGTGATTTTTGCATCTTTTTCTATGTTTCATGAATATTTTGGTGGGCAAGTGACGGAAAGTAAACCAGGCCCAGCTGTCTCTGGCAATAGCATCCAGAAGTTTCTTGTCCTCTCTCTCCATGAATTTTTCCCATTCCGATGTAATCTACTACATTTTTTTCCATGTCGAAGGACAAAAGGGACTCTATGCTCACGTCAGTCAAATCATGTCATAAGTATTCCGTTCCTTAAGGATTCAAAGTCAGAGACAGTATATCACAGATAACTCCTGATCCTTTGTCTCTCTCTTTTCTTGGCTCCAAGACAACATCCCAAATACTTTTCCCTACTCCTCAGGCCAGAAAGGTAGGCCCTGGAAGGAAGAAAGGGTCCCCGCCATCCCTGTGTGACTTTGGTTCTCACTTCCTAATTACACAGTGATGGATTTGGTCCAGGTGTCCTCCGGGGTACCATCTAGTTTTAAGATAGTAAAATTTTTCATGGATTCAGCTATAACTGTTCCAGGAAATACTCACTTAGGCTTATTTCTCTATTTTCTGCCCAAGACCTCATCTTACAGAGCTAGGTAGTCACTATGTTCTACTTTGCTTCTTCTTGATTATTTTATGACCTTAGGAAAATCTTTTAGTTTATGCCAAGGTTTGGCCCAAAGAATGTGATTCCAGAAGGCATCTACTGTCAAATGTGTTTGGAAGTTACTTCAGATTGTGGCTCCCTCTTAGAGTTTTCCAGTGACCGACCGCCTATGAAAGACTCTTAGAAGTTCTGCAGTAAGGGAACCTGTTTATTTTTGCTAAACTCAGAGTTTCCAAACATAATTGATCTTGAATTCCTTTTATTTATGGTAGCATCCATTAGCATCCCTTCATAATTAGTGCCCGCACCATGCACAGTGGAGGCAGAGCTCTAGAAGGAAGGATATAGTTCCTAATTCTGCCACTCGCTGACAGTATGATCTCGGGATACACACATAACCTCTCTTCACCTCATGTTCCTCACATGTCAAACAAGGGTGCACAATAGCACCCCCTTCATGGTGGATGTAAATATTTAAAGCAGTATTATGTAATATGGTGATTTATGATTAATAATATCACAACTCCGGGGTCTGGCTGTGTAAGTTCAAATTTTGTCCTTCCTCTTACTGGCTATATGACCTTAGAAACATTACTGGACTTCTGTAACTCAATTATTCATCTGTATGATACAAATTGTACCATTCTCCCAGGGCTAGTAAAGGAATTTATTCAGATTCATAGAAAATATTTAGAATTGTGCTTGGTCCATGACGGGTCCCTAATAAATGTTAGTCCTTATTATTGTCATCATTGGCACTCTTGTTACTTCTATGAAAACTTTGTCATATGGAAAACAATTATTTTCATTTTTTACCAAGATAAAGTTGACATATTAGTTTCAAATGCACAACATTAATGACTCAGTATTTGTTTACGTTGTGAAATGATCCTGTCAGTGAGTCTCGTGAACTTCTGTCACCTCACATAGGTACCAAATTTTTCTTGAGATAAGAACTTTTAAGATCTACTCTTTTAGCAACTGTCAAATAAATAATACAGTATTATTAACCATAGTCACTATGCAGGATATTCCTTGGATTATTTTAGTTTCTAGAAGCAACTCCTGTTACCGCAAAAACCAGCTTAAATCCAGCATGTTATTAAAATAGCATCACACCCCTCCTGCAAATACTTGATTCTGCCTTGTTGCTTTTGATCTTCTTTTTACCTAGAGTCTGTGATCCTTATCTTCTATCATTTACCTTTGTCACTTTTTCTGTTTGTGAACAGGGGCGGAGAGGCCTGGGCTCTGTTTTCGTCTGGGCGTCGGGAAATGGCGGAAGGAGCAAAGACCACTGCTCCTGTGATGGCTACACCAACAGCATCTACACCATCTCCATCAGCAGCACAGCCGAGAGCGGAAAGAAGCCTTGGTACCTGGAAGAGTGTTCTTCCACCTTGGCTACCACCTACAGCAGCGGAGAGTCCTACGATAAGAAAATAGTATGTGCCCTTTGCATGCCTACCGTGATGTATTTATCTGTCTTTCACTTTGACATACAGAAGGAAAATCAGAAATTTATATGCACAAGTAATATGTGGAAATAGGAAGTCCTATGAGCTGATTACTCAACACAAGTGTTTAGAAATGTTACCATTTCATTGAAAAAGCCTGTCCAAGTCATGACATTCCAGCATTTAGTATGGCCTCAGACAAAATTAAGCTTCAGTTTTATTGAGAACAAATGAATGGTCCACCTTCACCTGCTGAGTTACTGGCAGATAAGGGACTGGAACCTAGTTCTGATTCTCAGCCCTGAGCCTTTGTCCCTGTGTCCCCATACTGTCTTCAAGGCTTAGCTTCTATGCTTTGGTTTCCAATGACAGCTAATTAGAGTGAAAAGCAAAAGTACATAAGGAAACCCAGAATTCCATGTAGACTCTTTATTGCACATAAACCAGCCCTATACAAAAAGTACTTTTCTAATATTTTCTCACAAACTTTGTTGCCTGAATGAAAAGCACAGAAGTCCTGTGTGATCTGCTCCCTAACATGCCTGCTCTCCATGCAGAGAGCAAAACCATTAGTAAGAGTTCAGGTTGCAGGACTGGCCTGCATCGGTTTCATTGGGTGTTGAACTATTTACTAGCTGGGTAACTTTAGACACATTACTTAATTTTTCTGTCTTAATGCCCTTATTTGTAAAATGGGGGCATTTAATAGTACATAGCTTGTTGAGTTATTATGAAGATTATGAGGAAGCAAATAAAAAGTACTTTGCGTACTACCCAACTCATGTGTGTTCAGGAAAGGTCTGACTTTGGGGCTACCCAGCCCTATGCTGCTGACTCTAAATGTCAAACACCTTTTTACTTTGCTCTTTTCCTGATCATGGCTTAATAAGCTGTCTTGGGATTTGTCTTTCCAAAGTGGAGTTAAGCCACTATACCTGTCACTTTTTAGCATTTAGCCCAGACCTTGCTGTCAGGTCTCTTTGATTCATGCAGGTGTGGGTCACTCTGCTGATGCTGCCCCTGACTTTTTCAGGCAGTGATAGGACACTACCTCATTCGTAGTAATTCTTTACTCACATACATGTGGATTGATTCCTGGTTATTATATGATTTTGTGTTTTATTTCTGTTATTTTTTAAGACCTTCTCTAGTGACATTTTGCAGATTGATTTGAATAAAAGTTGCCTACCCCCATACAGATCCCGTGTGTCCCCATCTTTCTTTAATTTCTCCATAATAATTGGATGAAAAGATATACACCTGGGTCTATCTTTGACTACCTCCATCAATCATCAATAAACATAACTCCACAATACAAAGTGAAATATAGCCCTGGCTGGTATGGCTCAGTGGAGTGAGTGCCGGCCTGCGAACCAAAGGATCGCTGGTTCCATTCCCAGTCAGGGAACATGCCTGGGTTGCAGGCCAGGTTCCCAGTTGAGGGTACATGAGAGGCAACCACACATTGATATTTCTCTCCCTCTCTTTCTCCCTCCCTTCCTTTTTCTCTAAGAATAAATAAATAAAGTCTTTTAAAAAGAGTGAAATATAAAGGGAAAAAATACAGAGATGAACAAGATTTCAAGTTTCATGGCTTTCTTAATGGAAAAGTGATCCTCTGTGATGTGACCATTACCTTCATTACAGAAATGTTATAATCTAGGGATGTTCCTTCAGCTTTCAGATATGAAGCCCTTGTTTCCCAGAACTAATTAACCTAGGTCGATGTCCACTAGGAATGAGTAGTATCAGTCAGTTCTGTATCATGAAAATCCTGATGAAAACTCTCTGGAATAAGGGTTCTCTTCTAGTACCTCTCAAGTCTGAAGGCATCTTAAGGCAAACTCACCGTTGCTTCCAAGCAAATAAGCCCATGTGTTCCAGTTTATCCCTGTAGGGTGATTACTGGTGGGGGTGGGGAGGGTGGTAAGTTCCATAACTGTCTTCCTTAAGGGAAACTTACAATCCAATGGGCAAAATACCGAAGAGGAAGGAAGGCTTACCTAAGTCCCAAATGGACGCATGTGGACAGAGGGACCTCAGAATTCCTGCGATGAGATTTACTCCTTAGACTTGACCTTTCTGGCCCCTTCATCACTATTTGCTGTGACTGTGTGGTAGCTTTTATGACACCATGACGGGGCGGTCATTTAGGGTTCTGCCATGAATGGACACACTGACCCATGTGGCGGTCCAGGATAGGACTAGAGAGGGAAGGTGGAGACCATGCCATGGTATCCTTGATTCAGGGTCTGTGCTTTACTTTTCCCTTGTTACTGCTTCTGATATCAAAACCTTTACTGACTCAATGCATGTATTTAACATTTACTTGTTTCTACGTCTTATTTAGTCCCACTCAATTTCATTAGAGCAAATTGTTAAGTAATGTTCTTTATCTCACTCTTAGATTCTCTTATTTTGCCTGAATATCCAAATTATGCATGACTGGAGAGGAAATTCAATAGCTATTTCAAGCTTTAGTCTCTGGCTTCAGACTGCTCAGTGGCTAAGCATCCTTCACAGAGTCTTGGTTTCTTCATCTGTACAGTGGAGGTAACCAACACCAACCTCAGATTTTTGTGAAGAGAATGAGCAATGACATCAATGAAGTGTAGGTATTTATTTACACAGTGCATAGCACAGTGAACCCCTCCCTAAGTCATTGTAACTTTGCATCCTGGGAGGCTAGGGTGGTCATTATTTCAGCTATTGTAAACAGAGGGGCTTGTTGCACCTCCATTTGTCCAGTCCCTAAAATACTGCAGTCCGTTCCCCCCATCCCATAAAGAAGGACACTTTGTGAACATGTTAACAGTTTGAACATGAATAGAGTTGGCAAAAACATCAGCTTTTTATGGTCCAGCTGACCCCTTTTCCTTCTAGATGTCAGAATGACAAATAGTCCTCTGGTGCGCCTGAGACCTTTTCTTCATCAGGCTTTGAACCAGACGCCTGTGGTCCCTCGGAAATGCTCGCATCCTGTTAGTGGCATCTGTGATTGAGTGTTACAGGAATGGCAGTGTATCCCTTTGTACTCCAGGCTGTCTTCCCTGGGTCATTCATTTTCTTTGTCATTTGCAGCTCCTCCAGAAGAGCACACTTGTCATTCCTCATTCATAGAGCACCTTTGTGATTTGAACCAAGACAGCTGCTAAGAACCCAGAAGAGAGGAAGCATCTCCTCTCTGCTTCTGGGAAAGCACTTTTGTTAAATAAATTTGACTTGTCTTCAATACCTTTTCCTGGTATGCAAGCTGGAAAACTTTGCCCTGGGTTTTAAAACATAGCTAAGTCTCCACCTCTTTGTTTCCCGCCACTACTATTTAGGATTTGTGGACCTTGGTATTCCATTCATGCTTTAACAGATCAGATCAGGGACAGACAGCTGTATATCTTGTTACAGCAAGTAAATCACCCCAAATATCAAGATGACTACAATAAGAAGCTCCTCTATAAGCTAAATAGAAGCCAACTGAAATGTATTATAAAGCCATATTTTGAAATAATGTGTTTATTAATATTGTATATATCTAGTTCCATATTGAACATGTGACATTTTTGCCCTTTTAATATGTCCCTGGCCCTGCCACTATATATATCAAATGCATTGTCTCATCGTGTCCTCAGAACCCTGTGCAGGAAAATCAGGTATTTTCACTCCTTTACAGATGAGAACACTAAAGCTTTAAAGGTTAAGAGAAATACAAGTAGTAAGTGGTAGAGCCCAGATTCCAGCCAAAGTCACATAGACACCCCAAGCCCATTTTTTAACCAATGTGCTGTCATGCCCTGGGCACTTTTCAGGGACATCCAGTATGTGGCTACATGAAAAATGGTGTTTTCTGGGATGGAGGTGGGTCTCAGTGGTTGGCCTCTTTTGGGCTCTTTTCACAGTGCTTTAAAAAAGTATTCAGGATATACGTGTCCATTAATTTTTACAACTTGGCCCATTTATTTTGAATTTCTTGCCAGTAAACCTTTTCATAAGCCCCTCAGATGACCATCCCTCCTGCAAAAACCTAAAACTCTGCAAATCTGAGTTGCTCACTCCTGTGACACAGTGTCAGCACCAAACTGCCCAGGCGTATGCCATTTGTGTGGCATTCCAATCAGGACTCTCTCCCGGGAAGAGTGAAGCCTGTTTGGCCAGAAACCACTTCATTTATTATGTCTGTTCTCAGATTTCACCTCAAACAGGGTATTCGTCCTCGCCTGCCCCCAAATCGTGGCTCTTCCTTCCCCATGCTCTGCTCTTAGCCCATTGAATTTTGCTTCTAGCATCCTCAGAGCTACTTAACATGAGATTATACATTTTCATATTGACTGTTTTTTCACGCTAGAATGGGAACTACTTGAGGTTGAAGACTTTGTTTTGTTCCTTCCAGAGCCTGCGCTTAATAAAAAATCAGACATAAGTGACTAATCAGACATGGGGGAGGATGGAAGCTCTGGGGATTTTATGCAGCCACAGGAAGACAGAGAGGTGTTGTATTTCTTTAAGAGAAACTCCTTCTACTGATGGATGGGTAGTGAGAGGCAAAGGGTATTTGACAATATGTTTAGCATAGAAAATTGCCTGGAGTCAGTTCTCTATCTTGCTACATGATAAAGCTGTACATACTACCTTTCTTAGTGTCAAAGACCATTTAAGATCCAGTCTATAACCCTTCACCACATCCCCAAATTTCTGCCAAGTTGTTTTGGAGATAAAGCTCCCCTCTCTTCCCAATCACTCCCATCATTAAATTATTTCTTTCCTTTGGGACTAGTTAAGCCTCTGCCTTCCCCCCGCCCCCCGCCCCCCCTGTAGTAATTTGGCTCAGTGATTGGAATTCGGGGGCCATGGTATTCCTACTGGGACAGGTTTCGTGAGCCAAGGTTGAGAGAATATATGCTCTGCTCAACCCACCCCTGATGTCATTTTATTCATTTGTGTTCAAAACAAACTTGCTGCCTGGGGTATCTCAGGGTTGGCCTGAAGCTCTGATT